CCAGGGGTACCTCCCCAACGCCCCTTGGGTTTGGTACTAAGGATTAGTACCTTTCGATAGTTACCGACCAGCAAAACAAAAACCCCACAGAGGCCAGCATGGAACAGGCAAGAAAGAGGGGGAAACATAAAAACAGTTTGAAAAGTTCTAAATTTATGTCAACCGTTTTTCTGCACGCTGTGAAGGGACAGAATCCCAGTCCATGCTCTCCCCGCTGCAGCTGGCTCAGGTCCCTGTCGGAGCTGCCCTGTCGGCCCCTGAGGAAGCCCGGTGGGGCCTCCCACCCAGAGGAAGTGGGCACCGCTGGTCTGGCCCGAGGTCATGCGGGGCCACAGCCGAGGGTGTTAACAGGTTGGGGGTTGAGGGACTGGGGCCGCAGCTCCCCAGAGGGGACCCTGGCTCGGCCAGCACAAGTCCAGCAGCCCGGTCCCACCGCGGGGACGCAGCTGTACTCAGTCCCTCCTCTCCCGGCCCCTCACCAGCACCCACCGAGGCCCAGCTTCCCCTCGGCCCGCCCGGCCAGCCTCATGCCCAGGCGGGCAGGGAATGAGTCCCTGCCTCCTGGTCTGGGAACCATTTTGTATGTGAAAATAGAAGCCGCACTTTTATCCCAAGAGAGGGGCATAATCACCAAATGCACATGAAATCACTTAAACTCTAGGAGCCGGCAGCCCCCTCGCTTTAATTACACCGTGGGCCGTGTTCTGCTGAAAGCAATTACATTTTTAGATCTTCCCCAACACATACACACACACACACACTCACATCCTGACACACTCACGAGCACACACACGCACACTCGCCACTCAAGCCCTGCCTGCCTGGGCCTCCCGGACTGAGTAGAGCCTGAGATTTTGCAGGACCGAGAGGGCTTTGTATCCAACCTGTTCACGGTCCCGTCCGCAAGCTCGGTATGAGTTCTTTGCCCGCCCACCCGTCCTCCGAGCTCCAGGCTCCCCCAGGGTATGGGGCTCCCCCTCCCATGTGTCTTTTCCAGAGCCCTTCACCCCATAACACAGCCATCCACACACGGTCCCTTCCCTACGCAGATGACTTTCCCAGACGGACAGCTCAGCGCAGTGACAGCCGTGTCCCAGCCAACCAGCGCCAGCAGGACAGCTCTGCCAGCCCCAGGGCCGGGGTCTCTGCAGCTGGCTCCTTCCAGGGCGGCAGCTCTGACCTGGGGCACAGTGCCAGGAGCCCAGGAATGAGGAGGCCTGGGGCTCCCACCCGCCTGTGCAGTCAGCAGCCGTGAAAGACGCCCTTTGTGCCGGGGAGGGGTCCCCCCCAACACAATGCCCTCTTGTCCCTGGGCCTCCTGGGGCTGCCCTAGAAGGAAGGGAGCAATTTCACCGCGGTTTCCGTGGCGCGGTGCATTCGGTGGAGACTCTCGTTTCCGGCCAGGCTGCTGCACGGAGCCGCCCTCCAGCAGGCCGGGCCTGGGCCTGAGAAGCCAGAAGAGCAGGGTGGAGCCCGGGACACCCGAAGCTGGAGGGGCTGCTGGGGCGGCCACAGTGAGTTGACACCTGCAGAGCCTGAGGCCAGAGCTGAGGGCTTTGCCCTGTGGGGACCGCTGTCCTGACGTCCAGGTGCTCTGGGTGGAACTCCTCTCCCCAGCTTGTGGGGCACCTTGTTCCCGGGCAGCCGGAGCACTGGGTGGCTCTGCCTGTACAATGCCACTCGTAGGCACAGCAGCCAGTGCCGCTGCCCACGCTGCGCCTGGTCAAAGGCCGAACCTTTCCTGGGCATTTTGATGCACCCAGTTCATCTGACCCCTGTCCTAGGTCTCAGGTCTCCCTGGGTGGCATCTGGATTCCAATCCAAAGCCACGGCACAATTATTGGAAACCTAATGGGGAAACCCGGGGGTGGTGGTGCATCCCTGCAAATCCTAGCCCTCGGAAGCTGAAGCAGGAGGATCACCATGAGTCTGAGGCCAGCCTGGGCAAGACCGTGTCTCAAAAAAGAAAAAACAACAACAAAAAACCAAACAAGGTAATTTTTATTTGCTCCAGTGGGATGAAAGTTTGGGATTTTATGTTTGTTACCCCAAGGGCAAACCTACAATTGATTAAAAAAAACCAAAACTGGCATTTGAAAAACTGTTTTCACGCTTCCCCAAAGTGTTCAGCAGACACGGATTCCCAAAATATTCCGGGGGCTAAGGTGGGGCTTATGTCCTGCTCTGGATAAGGAGAGGCACCCTCGTCCTGGGGTGGGATGGGCAGGATCTGGAGTCTGCCGACGCTCCCGGCCCCGAGTCTGTCAGAGAGTGACATCCTAAAGTGTCGTGTGCCACGGCAGAGGCAGCAGACTCTAGAGGCACAGCACCTGGCTAAGTCCTGGCTCCTGTGCCTACCTTGTGACCCCAAGTGAGTCACTGCCCTGTGGGGTCCTTGGTTGTGACCGCATCTGCATCTGCAAAATGCGATGACCCAGCTTTCTGACTGAAGGGGTTAATGATACTCATGGGGTGGCCAGCAGCTCCTGGTGCCTGGCCAGTGCTCGGTGTCATTGCTATGTCACCCTGTCCACGTTGGGTGATGGGCCTTGAGCAGGGTCCTCTCCAGGAAGCTCTAGGAAGCCTAGGAAGCTAGTGGTCGTGGCTTTGGCTTTCTGCCACCTTGACAAGCTCACCTCCCTGGCATACCCAAGTCTGCATGTCCATGTGGCCAGGCTGCTGTCCCACTCCCGCATCAAGCCCTCATCTGAACATTTCTGCGGAGATGTTCAGTAGCTGTGGTTAGTCAGCTGGCTTTAAGTAAATCAGGTGACCTTCCACAGTGTGGCGAGCCTCATCTTATCAGGTGAAGGCCTTAAGAGCAGAACAGTAGCCTTCTGGAGAGGAAAAAACCAGCAGCAGCTCTGGCCTGAGTTTCCAGCCTCCAGCCTGCCCTATAGACATCAGACTTGCCTGGCCTCCCAACAGTGTGGGCCAATTCCCTGAAGCAAATTAATCTCCCACTTCTACTACTCTGTCTTTCTCTGCCATGTAGAACAGCAACAGTGCACCATCCATGGGCTGGAAGTAGCTAGCACTTTCACCTTGGACTTGCCAGCCTCGGGCTGTGAGACCTGCTGCTTCCCGTGGGGAGGTATGTGAAGGATGCCAAGCCTCTGCTTCAGCACTGTGTTGGGGGCACTCTGACCCTGGGGGTCACTGCTGGGAGGCACCCACCTTTACCAACTCCGTCCTTATCTTGAACCCAAACCCAAGTTCCTACAACTCCTTGTTTGTTTCTGATTCTCCCCTCCAGATCAACTCAGAAAAAGAGTCCTCTTTTTGGCCATGACTTTTAACCTAAAAAAGTGAATGAACCCATTAACAATGGTTTAATGGTTCCCAACAGCACAGTAGTCACAGCTTCCTGCCAACAGAAAGTGCAGCCTCACATCCCTGACGAAGGCAGCTGGCATCTGCATGGGCTGTGGAGGAGGCTTTCACAGGGCAGACTTGCTTATGCACACCCCAGGCGGCCCCTCCCTTGGAACTCAGTGTCTACAAATGTGAATGTCCTATGCCTGTGGAGACCCAGGAGGCCTGGCAGCAAGGGCTCATCATACTGTTTAAATCTCCAGTGTGCCACATCTTGGGGAGCCATAGTGCCCTGTAAGTCTGGTTCTGGTGCTTGCTCTGTCTCTTCAAACTCTGCTTTTGCCTTTTAGTATGCCTGGTACTTGTTTCCTGCTTGTCAGCCATGAGGTGCTACATGATGTGCTTAGTGATATGCCGAATGCAGGAAGTTCTCCTCAGTCCTGTGGGTGGGTCTCAGTCTTCCAGTGAGCCCAAGCCCTGGACGATGGATGCCCCACGTGTGTCTCAGGCCCCATTCCCCAGTGGAACAGTATTTGGGAGGTCTGGAGCTGGTGTCTCCCTTCCCACGATCAGTGTGGCACTAACTGGCCCAGGCAGACAGAGCTCCCATGTGGTCAGAACGGCTCCTTTCTCACAGTGCTAGGGATTTTCTGCAGTGCTCACTCTGAAACTCTCACTAGGTTCCTGGAGGAGAAACTCCAGAGGGGAAGAGAGTGATCTAGGTCTTACAACTGTGGGGAGATGAAGGAGACTGGACCACAGCAAGTCTGAGGGCAGGATTCCCAAGTGTTTGGGGAACACGAGTGAATTTTCAAAGATGTGGGTTCTGCTGGCTCCACACAGAAGGGCTGGAGCTCCTGACTGGTGTGTCCTAGGTCTTGGGACAGATGGCCCCTTTAAGAGGAGGAGCCTAGTGTAAGGTGGTTAGGTCCCTGGAGGTGTGCCCTTGGGTGGGGTTTATGCAAATGATTGTTATAAAAGAGCAAGTCTGCCCTGCTCCCGTCTGGCTTCCTATGTCTGCCAGGATGCTACTGGCAGCTGCATGGTGACACACTGTTGCAGGGTGGGGGCGGCAGGGGAAGGGGGCCAGAGGCCAAACAGAAGGGGCCAGCTGGTTTCGAACTCCCAGCCTCCAAGACTGTGAGCTAAACAAATTATAAAGTACCCCACCTTGGTTATTTTGTTCTATCAACAGAAAACAGACTGAGCTGCTCTCAAGGAGAGGACTCTGACCCTGGAGGGTGGAGGTTCCTGCCTGCAGCTGAGGCCCAGGCGAAGCAGAGCTGCCGGAGATCAGCTCATACCTCAGGCAGTCGGCAGGGCTGACACAGCGGCCTGGGGCGGCTCGCCGGGTGCATTTCTCGGAAGGCTCCTGTCTCATCCCTCAGAAGAGAAAACCCCAAAACCCAGATGCCGCACCCCACATCTCTGTCTCAGGCCCGCGTCTGTCTCTACGCTGGTGGGAACGGGTGATCAGTTAAGTGCACTGATCCCTTTCTGTTTGGTTCATGAAAAAAATACTTTTCTGTTTGTTTCAGCCAGTGTTTGTTGTTTAAAGGAATGAAACAATTAAAACAAGAGGGGCCCTTTGTGGTCTTGGTTTTCTATCTGCATCAGCACAGAAAATGCACGAAGAAAATCCTATCTTTCTAACACAAGTCAATGAATTTGACTCATTACCTACAGACTTATAATGCTATGTCTTTATTTAGCAAAAGCATGCATATATTCCTATGTGGAAGATGAGGCACAGAAATCTGGATTTAGCCCCTGGACTGGTGGCTTAAAACAGCAGACGCTGTCTTCTCTGTCTTGGAAGCTGGCAGTTGGAAGGTGTGGCCAACTGCCTCCTCGAGTGGGCACGAGAAGCCGAGGACCATGTACACGTGCACCCCCTGGGGCAGCAGCCCTGACCCCGGCGTCCTGCGTTGAGGGTCTACCCCCTGCTCTGAGTGTCTCCCACCCGGCACCGTCGCCCGGGGCCTAGGACTCCTCCCTGCACAAAGTGCTCCCGGGCCGGGCCTCCCCAGGCCCCGCCGATGCATGTGGTCATGAGAGACCCGTGGGGGACACCAGGTGGGCTTTCCCAGGTGGGGCGCCAGGTGCGGGGCGCCCATGTGGCTCAGGGTACTACCTTCTAAAGTCCATGACTCGGAACCAAAGGAGCCAGCGTCACTTGGCAGCTGGCCCAGCTGCCCAGGCCACCAGCAGGCAGTAGTGGCAGCGTCGAGGGCCCTGGGAGAGAGGCAGCAGTGAGGGCACCGAGCCCTGACTGGGGTGTGCACAGGCGAGGGCCTGAGCCCCCGGCAGAAACACCCCACACAGGTGGTCTCAGTGACTGCAGCAGAAGGGACAACAGCTGTGTCCACTGCGTCGTGGAGCACAACCGGGCCAGGAGGACCAGGGAGCCCAGGCTCAGGGCAGCCACCACGGGACCTAGTGCACCACAGGGAGGGGCGAGCAGACCTGCACTGGCCCGGGAGCTGTGTCTCCCTCTGCGCCTGCCAGGCCACTCTGTGGGCTGCGGGGTCACCCCGGGGGCCGTCCAGGGGCACACGCTGCGTCCTGATGGGCCTGCTGCCCTGGCGGGGGGCTTCCCTGTCCCTTCCCTGTGATGTTTCAATAAAATGTTTATTTTTAAAACATAAACCCGGTTTCTTCTGGTTGCTTCTGGCTGCCTAACAAACCACGCTAGAATGCAGTGGCCTCAGCAGTGTCTCTCGCTGCTTCTCACGGTCTCTGTGGCCGCAGTCATGGGGAGCGGGCTGCTCCGGGGCAGCTCCTGGGGTGCGCTGGGGTCCCCTCTCCTGGCTACAGGCCTGCGTGAGGGAGATGCAGCTCTCACACTCAGAGAAAGTGAGCAGATATGGCCTAAGCCCCTCAGAGCACACTGTTTGCCTTGCCAAGCCCTCAAGACAGGGCTCTAAACAATCACATTTAGGGTAAAATCCACACCTTCGAGGCCTGGCAGGCTGGAAGAATCACCCCAGCCCTGCCCACTCTCCCACCCCCTGTGCACCCACTCTGCTCCTCAGTCTTCTATTCCCCTGACCCCAGGCACACAGGTCTCCCCCTGACCCTGGAAGATATCACACTGTCATGACCTCAGGGCCTTTGCACATGCCCTTCTCTTTCCCAGGATTACTACCTGTCTGATGCCCTGTCATCCAGGTGGCCCGCGTGTATTCTCTTCAGCTCGCTGGCTCTACTTGAAACCATCTTTCCCGCTGACTTGCCCCTTTCTTGCTGCTTACCACCAGCTTCTCCCAACCAGCACTCGAACTCCTTACTGACCATGCCTGGGGCTGAATAAACATCTGCGAACGAGCTGATGAGCACCAACCTTCCTGCCATGTCTGTGGTTGTTGCTGTGCTGGACACCGAAAGGATGACTGCAGGGGGCCAGAGGCCCATGCCCCCAACTGGTCACAGGGCAAGCGCTATGGGCACAGAGGAGGGGCCTGTCTGGGTATTGCTGCCTGTGATCCTTTTCCGAAGTGCCTTCCTGTTCTGGAAAGCGAAGGAACTACATTTCCCAGGATCACTTGCAACCTAGGTGGTGTGGTCCAGCCAACGAGATGCACCCACACAAGCCCAGGGCAGGAGAGAGGCAGCCATGGAGCCCAAGAATGGACACCCAGGTTGTTGGTAGCAGGAGCAGCATCCCAGCATCCAGGCAACACCCTCTAGGTGCCCTGAGGCAAGCGGACGTGCATTCTTGGGTTCAGAAGTCAGGCCACAGCCTTCTTCGGCTCTGCTTTCCCAGTGAGATACTCAGGGCCCCTCTGGGCAGGTCCACACTGTGCCGCCCCAGAGTCACCCAGTGCAGCACCTTCCAGCCTTTCTGATGATTCTGGAAGCACCCACCCCTCTATGTTAAATCCTATCCGTTCAAAGCACTTGAGAGGTGTGATGACGTCACCTGCCAGGACCTGAGCAGCTCTGAAGGTGACAGGGTCACTGCATTGATGGGGACTCCAGCAGAAGCCATCCCGCCCACTGCCTAGAAGTCCCAAGGCGTCCAGACACTCACAATGTCCAGGCACCCTGTCCTGCTCACCTTTTTTCCAGGTGTGGGGTGTGGGGGAGAGAGGCTGCCCCAGGGCTTTTGCAAAGAGCACTATGGACTGTGTTCCCCAAACTCCCATGCTGAAGTCCTCAGCCCCACTACAGCCCTCCTAAAAGGGGCGCAGAGCGCTCTTGCTGTCTTACCACCATGTGAGGAGATGGCAGTGGGGAGCGAGCACAGGCCGCCGGGTGCACCCCAGCTTGGACGCCCAGCCTTGGAACAGGAAATCCACGTCTGTCGGGAATAAGCCGCCCAGGCCATGTACGGTGCTTTGTCGGGGCAGCCCTGGCAAACGGAGACAAACAGCAAGGCTAAATTATGTTCTTCTGCTGCACGATGGGGCTTTACAAAGGAAACAGAAATAAATAAAGGACCAGAAGCCGGCATCGCTTCCGGGATCTAGTCCTGGGGAGCCGCCCTGTGCTGCTCCCCCTCTTGTCCCCAGTTCTTACCATACAATGAAAGAGGGAGACAGCCCTCTCAGCTCTGCTCCTGGCCTCAAATGCCTAGGATGCCTTTCTGTTCCTCTGAGTGGTTTTCTCTTAATTCATCCTTTCCACCAATGAACTCTGCACAGCTTCCTGCCCCTGGAAATCCACCCTGGGTGCCCCTGTGAGCTCAAGAAAGGTAACTGTATTTTTTTAATCCTGGAAAAAATAAAACCTATAAAGTAAGGAGGACAGCACACCCAGCCCGGATGTGTCCTTTGCACCTCAGGTCCTGGAAGACAAGGACAGGGCTGGTTTCGGTGGAGATGCAGTGTTGGTCAAATTAGACATTCCGCATCTAGAATCGCCTTCCGATTAGGTCACCTCCTCCCAGATCCCTCTTGGAAGAGCGCCTTATGAAGGACAGATGCGCAGATGACTCACACACCCTGAAGCACAAATAAGAATGCATCCCTCCCCCCTTTGCAAAGCCACAGGGAGCACTTCCGGGGTCATTCCTTAACCACCCGCCCCGGCCCTGGGCCCTGTCACCATCATCCTTGAGTCAGCATGCAGCACTGCATCCAGGCCCATGTCCTGCAGCACCTTCGCGGTCCAGGGTGCCCTGGTTCCCTGTCCCTGTCAGACGTGGTCATGAGTGCCTGGCCTGCTCTGCCTCTCACCAAGGTGCCACTGTGGGCGGTCGCTTCCTCCCTGGGCCTGCACCTGATCCCTCTCATCACCGTGCTCCGGGGGACTGGAGGAGACTGGAGACAGTGCTCAGCCTAATGCCTGGGGCACCACCACCCTGTCACTAGTATTTCTGAGCCCCCGAGGTGGGGGCTCCGTGGGGCCTGCTGCCAGTTCTCCTTCCCACTGTCGCCCCGGGGCAGCTCTGAAGCGCACAGGTTGTCTCAGGAGCCCCATCTCTGACAGCCTCCTGCATTTCCTCCTCTCACACAGGGGCCATTCAGCCTCACGTCAGAAGGGAAGAAAGCACAAGAGAGCCTTTCCCAACAGAAGGAGCTTCGTTTGTGTAAGAACTGCACTCTGAGGCCCTGGGACACCTCAGAGTATTTACTTCCACCCCTCGCTGGAGCAGCTAGCTGACAGAACGGGACAGAAGCTTCGAAGGAAATACAAGTTGTGAGCAGCAGATTTTCCCTCTGTGAGAACATGCTGCATGCTTCGGAGAGAGCCCGGGTCTCTCGCGGGAGACCCTCCCAGCCCGGCACACTGAAACAGAAGTGTGGCTGGTCTAGGTGCTTGTCTGAACAACCCGCCCACAGTCTGGGTCGTGGTGCTGGGTGGATACACCCGGGGGTGACACACAGGCATGCGGGTCGTGGCCACCTCACTGTCCTCCTGTCTCACTTTAGAGCTGCGGGCAGTCCAGGATGCAGCCCAAATAAACACGGGCCTTTATGCACAGCACGTTAGAGCGATGAGCCCCATAGCGACACTCAGTCATCCCCAAACGCTCTCGGGCATACCGCTGACAGGGCTAGCATGAGTAGTCGCCTGCAGGGTGGAACCTGCTGAATTCCTCTCTGCGCCCCAGCCCTGGCTGCCTGGCTCCAGAGTCACCCACGGCTGCAAGCTCAGCCCACGACCTTGGAGCATGGCTGGCCACGTCCCGGGAGAGCAAGGTCTTCCGGGCTCATTGTGGAACCTCTCTGAGCCCAAGGTTCCCCGCCTTCCAAATGTGGACAGGAACACCACTGGTCCAAAGGGCTGAGAAGGCAGAGTGCCTGTGTCCATCTTGGCGACAGCCGGGCAGGCCACCCAGACGCAAGATGTCGCACCATGGAATGTCCGAGGCGGGAGGCTGCGCTTGGGAGAGCAGACAGAGGCCCAAGACAGCTGGGCCCTACCCACCTCCCACAGTGCTGCTTCTCGGCCATGGCCACGGCGGGCAGAGGCGGAGAAAACGGCCCAGTACTCCCTGGCCAGGGTGGAATCGCAGGGCCTGCCCTGGCCCGACCCCCATCCCTGGGCAGTGGGGTCTGGGCAGGCTGTCCTGCCCCTCCCTGGGCCTGGATGCTAGCTGGCCCTGCCCGGTGGGGCCACCTGCACTTTCCTCCGGGACACCCCTGCCCTGCACAGCGGCTGTGTGGCTTGGGCTGAATCTGCACACGCACACACACACACACCCCAACCTTGGGCCGGAGACTCCCTCCTCTGGGGCACCCGGCCACTTTCTGAGAGGCAAAATCAAGGGGTGCTTCGGCCCACATGGCCCTGATTCCTCTGGCACTGCCAGGGTGAGCTGAGCATTGCCAGTGTCTCTGGATGCTTCTGCCTGACATGCTGGCGGGGAGGGAGGTGGGGAAGGAAGTGTACCTGAGCCCCTGATGCTACATGAGGCACCATCTCAGAGGGGCAGCGCTGGGCCTGGGTGAGGGAAGCGCCCACGCTGGCAGCAGGCATGGCTGGTGACAGGACGCCCACCACCTCATTGGTCTGTTCACTCCTTCTCCCCTTCATTTCAGCAGCCCCCAAAGTTATTTTTCTCAGCATGCTCCCGATTTTTTTTGGCAGGTGCTGGGGGTGCGACCCCGAGCCGCATACCGGCTAGGTAAGGGCTCTGCCACTGAGCTCTAGCCCCAGCTGAGTCTTGAGCTTTATCTGGGCCACAGTTCAGGAACTTCTGCTTTCATCAGAAGCTGGATGGCAGCCTCCCCCCGCATTAGCATCTGATGAAATTCTCCCAGGCTTCCTGAGAGGAAGTTTGACTTCTCCCCGATTGATTCAGAGAGCCAGAGAGGTTGGGACACCCCTCCAAGGCAGCAAGTGCGACAGAGGCAGAGCCACCCTTCACACGCTGTGCAGCCCTGTTGGCCTCCAGCCTGGTCCATGCAGCCCTGGCCCATGCGCCCCTCCTGCAGTCTGCCGAGGCTCCCGTGCAGCCTGCTGGTGGGTCACTCGGAGCAGCACAGCTCTGGACAGCACAGCCCAGGCGGCAGGGGCTCAGGCTCAGCCGGAAAGGGTCTGGAAGGTGGCTGGGCCTGCTGGGACTGCCTGGAAGACTGAGCCTGTACTTAGTTCTCCGTGGTAAATAACAGCTCTGGTTTCTGCTAAAAGGATTCATTCCCAGAACACAATAATTTTCATCTCCTCCTCGCAACAACCAGTATTTTATAGCTAAATATATGCCAAAATGAGCCCGCTGGCCTGATAGCGTCGTTAAGGAGATATTTGACCTTGAGTTTAATTGCAGGATGGAGAACTGGCTTGGATGCACCGAAGGGGCTGGCAGTGAGTTTGGGGCTGGGCATCTGGCATCCACCAGCTCAGGGAAAGTGTTGGAGGAGAAAGGGACTGACTCCGGAGCTGGGTGCTGATGCTTGCTCGGGGAGGGGGCGGGGGCTGCGAGGTATTTGGGCCGACTGGAATCCCGGGATGTGGGCAGACTGAGGAAACCCCTAGCCTGAAGGGGACACTGGGGTCGCATGCCCGACCCTCTGTTTCCTGAGCCCCCCTCAAAAAAACCCAGCCCCCCAGCACTAGAGGAGCACTCTGGCATGCACCTCACCTCCCCCAAGAAGACTGGCGGTGCAGGTGCGAAGCTGCCCAACACCCACCCGTCCCACCCGCCGCCAGGGCTGGAAGCCACCTGCCCAGGTGACCGAGGCAGGAGACGCCCTTGCTGACAAATGGCTCTGCACAGCCCTCATTCAGGTCCCCAGGCTCGGGCCCAGCACCTCCAAGCCTCTACAGGAAGCAGGGGCAGCCACAGGAGAGTGTCGGATCCAGGCCTGCGGCCAGCCAGGCCCCACTCCGAGCCAGCTCCCCTCTCCCCCGCTGGGATTCTTATCCCCGCTGCTCAGCGTCAATGCTACAAAACCCGTCAAGCAAATGTCAGCGGGTTTGACAAATGGTAGCTCTTTGAAAGAAGGGGGCGCCCGATAACGGTGACTGAGGCCCACTTTGTTCTGTCCTGGTGTTCTCTTTCTGGAGGCTGGGGAGGGAGGGACTCACCAGGTGCGAGCCTGAGGCGAGGCGCCTGTCCCCGGGGCCCTCAGCCTCACTGAACCCAGCACGGAGCTGGCCAGAGGGGGAGCATGGGGCCCAGACCCTGATCCGGACCTCGGCCCCCTCATATGTGGGCATTTTTTCTACCTGAGCCTGGAGTCCGAATGAGGGGAGCAGAGCGTCCAGAGGCAGAGCAAGGACCCTGTCCCTCCTGTCCCCACAGCTGTGCCCCTCCTGGGCTGACTTCCTTCTGCTGTGGACCTAGCCGCCTGCAGAGCTCAGCCTTCCAAGCTGCAGGGCTGCTCCACGGTTGGTTGGGGCGGCACAGATTCAAACGGGTGGGGGGCTGTGGGTCCCCAAAACTGCCAGGAGGTCCGGCTCTCCAGGTGGGCGGCGTGTCTAGGCCCCTGCCTGCTCCCTGCAGACCTGGCTAGGGCTGAACTCATCAGAAGGGGCTTCAAGTAGCAGAGTCTGCAGAGCAGCCTGGTAGAGGCCGCAGAAATGGACCGGTAACCTGAATCTCCTGTGTCCAGTGTCTTCCAGGAAAAGATCAGACAAGGCCTCAACTGTCCATTGGCCAAGACACTACCTCACTTTGCCCAGAAGGGGCCTGCCTAGCCTGGCCAGAACCCCCACCAGCCTGGTGTAGCCTCCCATGCTGGGGCTGCCAGGCGCTCTCCTGCCTCGGCTTTCCCTGCTGGCTTCTCCTTAACCAAAGGACAGGAGCCAGGGGAAGATGGGGCTCCAGCCACCCCTTCCTATCTGTGGATGGAAGGCTGGCAGCGGGTGTTGGGAAAAAGAAGTGAGACAGTCCTTGTGGGCCAGGCACACCAGGTGGCCTGCGGAGAGCCCCAGGAAAAAGGGGAGCCCGGTGGGAAACAAATATCAAAACCCTGGCTAGTTACAAAACGGAAAGAAAATACAAAGGAAGAAAGAGACAGGGTGGAAAGGGGTGGGGAGCTGAATTCTGCCCGCACTCCAGGCTCCCAAAGAGTTATCCAGTGCCTTTCTGCACCGGGACTTAAATTGGCATTTTTCTATCCACAACCCCGATTGCAGTGCTGGCCAGGGTGGAGGGGGTGACTGGGGAGTCGCCGGCCTCTCCCGAAGCTGGGTGACTGCACACAAAGGGCTCTGGGCTTGGGGGCGGAGGCCTGGGAGGGTGTAGCCATCACCCTGGAAGGGGTAGGGGGTTTCTCTGGCTGGGATGCCCGCCCTGGATCGGGCCTGGGGCGAGAGTGCAGCGCCTCCCCGGAGGCCTCGCACTGTTTGTAATTCCACCCTTTTTTCATTAACATAAACACCACTTGAACAAAAATATACACGGCCACCTACTTCGCTGGGGAAGACCCTCCGTGCCCGGCCCGTGTTCCCACCACCCCGTCCTGCGCGTCCCACGCGGGCCGGGCCGAGGCCCCTGCTGTCGCTGTGCCGCTGGGCTCCGCGGCTCCATCACACGCACCCCACGGCTCGGCCTGTCATCCCTGCCCGCTGCCGTGGCCGAGCCAGCCCCGACCGAGGTGCCGAGTTGTCAACGCAAATTCCTCCTTAAACCACTTGTTGATAAAGCCTCGGGGCAAATTGGTTCCTCTTTACCTGCCCGCTCCGCCCCTGTGCTGCCCGCCCGGACTTAATCGCGGAGCAGCTGAGCAGCTGTCGCCGGCTGCGGGCCGCCTCCGTGAGCTAATTGAGTTGGAACCCACGGCGTCCTCAACCTGATGGAGGAAGGGTTGGGGGCAGGAGGGATTGGGAGGCTGCCCCGCAGGGTGGGCTCCCAGGAGCAGGAGCTGTACGCGGAAGGCTCTCGGCCAGGAGAGGGGACCCTCCCTGTCTGTCACCTGGCTGGCAGCCCCCCCCACGCCCTGTGCTCCTGTGGGGGCCCTGAGCCTCAGGATGACCTGGCCCAGCCCCCTTGCTCCCCACTGTCCCCCTTTTCAGCCCTACCCCTGCCGGAACTGAAAACTGGACTTTTGGATCTGGCACTGGGGAGTCAGCCAGCCTCGCTGGTAGCCGGGGTCTGGGTTCTGTGGACACCAGCACCAGCAGGTGAAATAGGCAGCCACATCCACATAATTCTGGGCCTGACGCAGCTGGAAATGCCCACGAGACACGTCTGCGGTGTGTTAACCTCCCTCGGCACACAATCTTTAGGACCCACTGTTTCCCACTACCGTGT